AAGGAGAGCATAGAAAGCTTTCCCTTTTCCATTAAGGCATGGCAAATACCTTCATGAGAGTATCTTCACATGAAAGAATACCTCCATGTTATGAGATACAAGAGTTTTTTCACGGCAATTGGCTGCCAATTGGCACGAAAAAAATGTGGACCGATTGGTGTGAGAAAACGCCAACCTTAATTATCCTAAATGATTCATAAATTGTTTTTGTAAAACAACGGAATTGTTTTTATGATTCCTTAAAGACTTTTGCTGTTACGGTAGGATGAATTTCGGGGTAAGTTCAAGAAAAACTCACCTGCACCTCTTGAAAGTGACCAATAAAAGATGGATAAGGAAACTCAGCGCCAGAAAGTTTTTTTTGTCGTATAATAAGTATTGGATACTATGCTTTAACTAACAAAATGACGTTTTTATAAGGCCTAGGTTCTATAAAAACCAAAATAAAGCCTCACCTCAAGTCCTCGTCTGGAAAGCACCTTTGGCAACGAAATCTCCATTACAGCTCTAAAATCAATTTCCAACACCCACCACAGAAATTTGAAACTAAAAATATATACAAATCTTGTGGATCTATAAACACGTACTTTTAAGACGAATGGATGGTCTAGATAATTTTTTTGTCATATACACTATTTTTAGAGTTTTAATCTTTTTTTTTTTCATAAACAAACAAAGATGAGGATCTTCAATGCTTGAATTGCAATTCTCAATGAGTTATGAGGTGAGGCTTTAGTTATTGTAATAGGGGTGCAGCTGTATCAAACCATTTTTCGTAACCTAAAAGAAATGTAGTAAGTTGATGTGTTCATTGTTGAGTGGTTTACGATCATTCCTACTTCTGAGTGTGAAGGGTTGGTGAGAGGGCCGTCCCTTTGAATCGAAGCCATATGTGGTCCACATTCATTATATGTTTCACACTGTATTTTGGATGGTCCAGATTCAATGAACCGAGCGCTTCCTGAAAAAAATCATGACATGTGATTTTTACCCAATATCACATGTGAGATCATTCTTACTTAAAAAAAATCATGACACGTGTCGGTAACTTTATGGATCTCCCCTTAAAAGGCCCGGATCTTTTGGCAATAAGTTTTTTAAGGACTTGACCTTAATTACGTTTGACCCTTTTGAGGAATAACCGATGGGCAAAGATTTATATATTTCGCCAACGACTTAATATTTATATATTTCTTCTTATCCAACCGTCCATTCTGAATGGAGGGTTAAGATTGCTTCAATCGCAATGTCATATCCCTAAAAACTATTTTAATTATTTTTAAAATTTTTTAATTTTTTTAATTTTTTTAATTTTTTTCTACAAACTATTTTAACATCAAATTTTGTAGGTCTAATTCTCTATTAAACTCTCACTAACGAAAAATATATAAAAAATATTTCTAATAATATAAAATGACCAAAATGCCTTTGAAATTTTCAAGAGGTATTTTGGTCATTAAATTTTATTGAAAAATGATTTTTAATATTTTTATAGGTGAGTCCCAATGAGAAGATGGCACGTACATACAATTTGTAAACAAATAAAATATTGTGAGACGTCGGATCTAAGATCAACGGTAAGTGGCTCTCTTGATCAAAATTGGACGGCTAGATGGTAGGGGAAGCATAGATCTTCTATGTTTTAGGAGAAGTATAGAAAGCTTTCCCATAACGGATCTTTTTCTGTTTTTTTTTTCCTGATCAAAATTGAGTGCACTAACAAAATGTAGAGAATTTGTAAGTGATTATGGGTGAAAAAAATCGTTCTATATTACATCTTAAAGCAAAATTAGGTCTTTTTTTATCTAATGGAAAATTTATCAAAGTACCTATAAGATCATTTGTATTTGTATAGCATTTTGAAAATAAATAAAAATATATAGGTAAAGTATGAATTTGTTTATCTCCCCTAGGTAATTTGATAAATTTCCCTCATCTAAATGACGCATAATATTCCTTTTCCCAAAATCTAGAGGTTGTTTGGTGTTTTTATATTTCAAAGAACTCTAAAGTAAACCTAAATAAATAGGCAAAATTACGCAATTAAGTACATTCTCTCCACGAAGCAATGAACATTTTTGGAAGTTTTGTGAAGCATCTTACCCCACGAACTTCAATTTGTCCAAATTCATTAAATAAATTACTGCGAGGCTTCTGGCATTTGCACATATGGCCATGAGAGAGAGAGAGAAATGGGGTAGGGTGTCTCGTCTTTTTTATTGCATGAATA